TGCTACCAGAGCTCAAAATCCCTAAGATTTAGGAGATGAACTAGGGTGGAGGGAGAGTTGAGTTTAGGAAAAAACTTTTCAAATATGTGTCTATGGTAAAGAGGTCAAGTAAGAAACAAAGATGGGGGGATGTTAGAAATAGCGTATCAGGAAGCAGGACAAGCAAAACTGCAATGTTTTCAGAAGGAAGGGCGAAGTTAATAACTTCAAATGCATCATTAATAGTGGAAAATGATAAATGAAAAAACAAATCCACTGGATTTGAAATCTAGATCATATCTGTAGAAAGATACCTCATAATTTGCATATTTGGACACTATTTTAAAGAACATTAACAATAAAAAAGGAAAAGGACACAATGACTTAATAGGAAGCCAAATTGCAAGACAATTTTTTAGGAAGAGCTTTCACTTACAAGTGATGAGAGAGGGAAAGAAAGTTATATACAAAAGTCCTCTATAGCAGCATAGTATTTCACAGCCTGTCTAATCTTAGTGATTGGTGGTAGTGTGTGCTATCTAGTCAGTTCCGACTCACAGCAACACTGTGTAGGGCTTCCAAGGCTATACATCTTTACAAAAGCCTCATTTTCTCCCATGGAGCAATTCGAACTGCTGATCTAACAGATAGCAGTCCAACTTGTAATACAGAGCACTACCAGGGATAAGAAAATAGGGCATACTGTGGAAACTGAGGCAAGGGCTCCTTCTTGGACAGAGGCAATCTTACTAGAAGTACTAGCCACCCAGATCTGCTTAGTTGACTCCAAGGCCAAAGGAACAACAGCCCTAATACACCTGAGGAAAAATAGTGTACTCTGGTTGGGAAGTACTGAATAAGGTTTCAGGCCTCAGACTTACTGGGCCAAACTTTGAGAGAAAAGGAAGATATAAGCTTTGATAACATGAACCTTAAGGAGCTCTGGTAGCGTAGTGGTTACGAATCGGGCTGCGAACCTTAAGGTCAGTGGTTCGAAACTACCAGCCGCTTCGCGGGAGAAAGATGAGGCTTTCTACTCCCGTAAGGATTTACACCCTCGGAAACCCTGTACAGGGTCGCTATGGGTCGAAACCAACTCAACGGCACTTAACAACAACAACAACAACAACAACATGAACCTTAGTCCAGTATTGATGGTCCTAATGTATTTAATTGTATTCAAGTCATACTGACTAAAATTTACTGTAACTTGTATGAGTCAGGAAGATTTTTCCCTAATAAGTTATCTCAGAGAATATCATATTTAAGCAGCCCTTTGTGTCATATACCAGAAAACAAAATTCCAACTTCTCAGAAACTATAGTATGTATCCCACAGGTGTACTGGTAGTGGTGAGGCATTTTCTCAGTCAGAGTACCCATTAACACCATCCACAACAACGGTGGTGAGCTTTCATCTATCATACTTTGACATGCTGTCAGGAGGGACCCTAAATAGGATGGACTGACTCAGTGGCAGCAACTATGGGCTCAAATGTAACAATTGTGAGGATGATACAGGACCTGGCAGTGCATAGGATCACTATGAATTGGAACTTGATGCAATGGCACCTATAACAACATAACAGTGAATGAATATCAGACCCTTTGTCTTCTTTGGAATTCTCACAGCTGTCAAATTTTTGTCTCTGTCCAAGCATATCTCTCGTACGTGGTTATGGTCAGTAACATAATTATGAGGGGCTTCAAAAGATTTGTAGAAAAATTACTTATCTTTTAATTTCATTTTTCCACAAACTTAATGAAGTGCTCTCATATTATCACCTGGGCGTACTGATGTGGTGTTGTGGGATAATGCACTGGACCGCAAGGCTGGTTTGAATTGCAAGGTCAGTGGTTAAAATTTAGTAACTGCTCCTTGGATTGAGTTGGAATCAACTCAATGGAACCTAATAACAACTATATATCTTCCAATCCCTAACCTTTTATAGACTCAGAAGAATTATGGCATTCTTTGGCGCTACAGGATGATGCACTGGACTGCAAGTTTGGTTTGAACCACAGGGTTGTTGGTTCAAACTCACCAGCTGCTTCTAAGAAACTCTATACAGGGTTGCTATGAGTCAGAAGTGACCTGATGACATTTAACAACAATAAATTATTATATGCTTCAAAGAAACTCTAGTATCACTTTTACTATATCCCTAGAAATAAACAAGGAGCTTTGGCAGCACAGTGATTATGAATCAGGCTGCTAATCTCACGGTCAGCAGTTTGAAACTACCAGCTGTCCTGTAGGAGAAAGATGAGGCTTTCTGCTCCTGTAAAGATTTACCACCTTGGAAACCTTATGCAGGGTCGCTGTGAGTTGGAACTGATTCCATGGCACCTAACAACAAGAAGAAGTGATAAATACTTTACAAACACCCAAGATGAAGGAAGGTATTAAAATGTGAGAGAGGGATACCTAGTAGGACAAGGCTTCAGGGATCTACAAGGATATGGGGTGAACGCCTTTAATGAATTTGTTAAAATATTTTTGTGAATGTTTTATAATTTAGAAACCACTTTCCCCACATATTTAGCTTGTAATCCTGATAATAATCCAAAATTATTTTTATTTTGTCAATGAGGAACCTTCAAAGAGATTAAGTGATGAACCAAGGTCACAAGAGTTATCAGGGCTGAGACCTTATAAGTTTGAGGGAGTTCCTGAATGATTAAGAAAAAAGATATGACCATGAGACGGCAGTATTGAACAACAAACTATTTATTGGGACTGGTGTACACACAGTTTGCATGTGGGGACAACCTCTAGCAGCATGAGCTCTTCTATAAACAAGAGGCACAGGGAGTTAACAAAGGGGAATAGACAAGGGAACTTTTGGCAGAAAGGGGTAGATGGAAGGGGCTTTACATGCCTAGATGACGACCCTCAAGCAGCAATGCAGGAACTCTTTGGGTCAAAGCAGCACTTTGAGGTATTTATAACTACAAAGTTTATTTATGATTACCAGATGTTGGACGCAGTTTTATAAGGTATAAAAGGAAGGCAGCCTCAAAATGCCTAAACACCTGTGTGTTTGGGTTAGTTGTAAAATAAATGGATGTATAAAATTTTGAGTTTGATGCTAGCAGATTTTTTACTTTACTGTGAAGAAACAAAGAGCCTGGGGTCATACACAATGAATATTCTGTAAACCAAACGTCATCTTTAGTTTATTTACTGTTGTTGTTTGTTGTTAAGCAGAGTCAAGTTGGTTCTGACCATAGTGAACCTGTATAGGATTTCCAAGGAGCAGCTGGTGAGCTTGAACCAGTGACCTTGTGGTTCAAACTGACTTTGCAGTCTAGTGCATTAGCCCACAGCACCACATCAGGACTACTTGGTTCATTTATATTATGACCTAAATGCTGATCTTCTGTTCTTTTCACTCTATCATAATGGTAAAAGGACAGAGACAACAGATAAGCATACAAAATCTGTTTTAATGAACATGATATAAAAGGCGTTCACTCAGAGTTTCCTTGGTTTGGATTCTTTAAAAAAAAAAAAGAAACATGAAGACATTCAATCTAAGAAAGTAAAGGCTAGTGTTGTGCTGATAAGTTTATTAATGATCATCTCACTGTTCTGGTTCAACCACAGTGGGAAAACATTTATAATGAGCATGACTATAGTCATATATGTCACTGAACTGTGTTCCCCAAAATACTTTGTCAACTTGACTAGATAATGATTCTCAGTGGTTTCGAAATTATATAATGATTCCCCCCATGATGTGATATGATGCAATAAGCCAATCAGTAGTAAAAGGATAAGAGTGGGACGCAATATCTTTAACCCCATCACACTCATGATTCAACTAAGGGCAGTTTCCCTGGGGTGTGGCCTGCAACACCTTTTATCTCATAAGAGATGAGAAGAGACAGAAGCCAGCATAGAGAGAGGAACCCCTAATACAACCAAGAAGAGTCAGAAGTAAAGTGGGTCCACTGGATTCACGTACCTGTGTTGGAAACCTACTAGGTCCAGGGGAAGACTGATGTCAAAATGTCTGGAGATTTCTAAGGAATACCAGGCCAAAAGGAAACAAAAACCTTCCTACTAAACTATGAGTCAACAGAGAGAGACTTCCCCTAGAGCTGAAGCTAGTAATTCGGATATATAGTCTCTTAAACTAAGAGAATAAATTTCTATCTGTTAAGCCATCCACTTGTGGTATTTTTATAGCAGCACTAGGTAACTTAGAGAGATATGAACTAAAAAATTTTAGGACTATGAAGAAGGACAACTATATTCAGGAAGGTAAAATTCCTTCATAAATTTATTGATTCATGTTTAATATTCTTCATCTGTTTGGGCTAGCTTTTTTAGTTTTATGCCAAAGAAGGAAACCTATTATTTTCTAATATTTACAAATATTTAAATATTTTAAAAATTACTCCAAGACATTCTCATGTAACTAACAACTTGGATAGATTACTACAATATATTGTACAAAATTTTCTGATCTGCATAATCTGTAAGTAATTCCTGACGTAGAGGAATCATAGACATGGCAGTCCATGGACTGCCAGAAGAAGAAACAAGACTGTCATTGAAGAAGTACAACCAGAATGTTCCTTAGAAGCAAGGATGGCGAAACTTCATTTCTCATACTTTGTGCCTATCATCAGGAAGGACCAGTCCCTGAAGAAGGACATCATGCTTGGAAAACTGGAGGGTCAGTGAAAAAGGAGAAGACCCCGAACAAGATAAATTGACACCAGTGGCAGCAACATGGGCTCCAACAACTGGGAGAATGATGCAGGACTGGGCAGTGTTTTGTTTTGTTGTGCACAGGGTTGCTGAGTCGGAACCAACTCTAAGGCATGTAACATAACTTAATAGGCACAAAAGTATCAAAAACGAGAAACAGTAAAGTAGCACAGACGATAACACTATCATAGGTTACACTATGGGTTGAGACAAACTTTGTCCTATCTACTGAAGGTAGCATGATGCTGTTTACAGCAACAAAACAAATGATACATTCATTTATTTTTAAGATATCTTACCATGAGATTCAAGTCCAGCTCCCTGGGCCAGTCCATTGTCATAGGACTTAAAAAAAAAAAAAAAAAAAGTTCATTTTAGCAGGGAAATAAATGACAACGGCATATGAACAAATAAGTTGCTATTATGCTATGTTTGACTGTCATTCACAATTTGTTTTATATTTCCCAAACTATACACTTCCTACAAACAAGGAAATATACATTTCAAATACCTTATCATGTCTTAACAAGTCAATTTAAAAATGGCAAATAAGACATTTTACAAAGAAATAAAATGCTTTAATTGTCAATGTTTCTAAAGTGTTAAATTGTTGTCAAGTGCCGTTGAGTCAATTCTAACTCATAGTAATCTGGTTATAGGGTTTTTCAGGAGCGGCTGGTGAGCTTGAAACACTGAACTTGCAGTTCAAACTGACCTTGCAAGTCCAGATCTGGTGTCCTGGTATGGTGCTGTAGGATAGGCACTGCACTGCTAACCCCAGGGTCAGCAGTTCAAACTGACCAGCTGATCCTCAGAAACCCTATACTGGGTTGCTATAAGTTAGAACCAACTTAACAACAACAAATAAATGACCACTCTTGCATCATTTTCCCCATAAATGTATACATTTATACCTGACAGCAAAAGAGTCTGTGTTTTGGACAAACTTAAATTTTAAAGACCATGGGACAATTGTAATTTCCTCAACTGATTTAATATGATCACTCTGCATGGTTTCAGCTTGCATGGTCAACATTACAGTCTGTCATTACCATGCAAAATGAGTACTTCCTGTACTAGAAGAACCCAGGTAGAACAGAGCACTAAGTACTGGGAAGAGACTAAAAAGTGTGTAACTCAAGGCAACTGTGTTCAAAGGTAAAACTTCTGTAGGACAAGAAGGAAAAAGGAAAGGAGAAAGGTCCTTTGGAAATGAGGTTTGTTGTTGTTAATGTGCCATGGAGTCGGGCTCCAACTCATACTGACCCTGCACAGAGTTTCTGAGGCTGTAAATCTTTCCGGGAGCAGAAAGCCTCAACTTTCTTCCATGGAACAGCTGGTAGTTTTGAACTGCTTACCCTGAGGTTAGCAGCCCAATTCATAACCACTACGCTACCACTGGAAATGATGTAGTAAAGAAAAGTTCAAAACAGCAAAAGTTAGAGGTCTGGGAGACAAAAGAGAACCTCAATCTCCCTCTAAAATCATGGAACATATATTTCTTCACACACCACTAAAACTTGTCATCCAATGATGAAACTGTGGTACTGACAGGAGGACACCTTTAAATTAGAAATTTTCACTAGGGAAAAAATTACCATGAAATGAACAAAAAAAGAGACTAAATCAATACAAATTAAGTGAACATAGCATAGAAACAACTCTGAAAATCTGCCTCCTCACCCAAGAAAAATCATAAAACATATGACATAAAATAACATCCCAAACTTTACGAACTATGCTCAAACAAGAACTTGGGACTATAACAAATCGCTTTGGAAGGAAAATACAAAGATTAAAAACAGAAATGAACAAACAGAAGTACTAAAATGAGAGTTGAATGATTTCAGGGGAAAAAAAAAATCTAAGAAAAAGACAACAATATCCTTAGGAATAGACACTAAATTACAGGAGGCACAGGGATCATAGCCTCAAATGAAAATATTAAAGACATCGTAGAAAAACAGAAAAAACAAACAACGAAAAACCTACCAAGAGAATAAAAAAAAAAAAAGTATTAGAAATTGGTTGAAATGAAAGAAAAGCTAAGAAAGACCACACACAGAATGGTGCTGCAGGATAGATGTGCTGGGCTTCAAGGTCAGTTTGAGCTGCAAAGTCGGCAGTTCAAACCCACCAGTCTCTCCTCGGAAACCCTATACAGGGTCGCTATGGGTCGGAACCGACTCGATGGCACATAACAACAACAACAACAAGTAGAAACTAATTCTGAAAATTATTATCTAAGATCAGTAAAGGATGACCTGCGGGTTAAATCTGGTTTGAACAAGTGACCAGTTAATAGACAAATCTTGTAAGAAAAGAATACTAAGTGCTCCATACGTTGCTGATGGGAACACAAAGCTGTCCGTTTATTTTAAAACGAAATTTGACAATGTATTTAAACTACATGTACATTTGTTTTGTAATCTAACAATTCCACTATAGGAATTTGTTTTGAAAATATATCATCAACAATATGAGGGTGTTTCATAAAGTTCATGAAAAAATTCCATTATCTTTTCATTACATTTTTCCAGTAACTTTTTAAAGTCCCCTTGTACATAAATACATATGCAAAATGTTATTATGGCATTATTTGTAATTATAAAATTAAATTAAAATACCCTATAGAATACCTGAAAAATAACTACGTTACATTCATGCAACGGAGTCCTATAATACTTTAAAAAAGACTGAGAAAAATGTCTAAAATGATACGGAGTGATTTTTAAGATATATTAAGTGGAAAATGCAAACTGTACCCCCCAAAATATGCATATTATCTTTTGAGTAAGAATACAGAAGAAATAAAAACATCGTGTGTCTCTAAATATAATGCACTGACCAATAAGAACAGAATATTATTCTATTAATAGTCTTGTTAAAATGTATACCAACAATTCTCACTATGTAACATAAATTTCTTTTCCTTTTAAAACTCCTGTAAAGGTCTACTCTTTCTGCTCCGACGGGGCTTATTAAAATGTGTGCTGTTGTTGTTGTTAGGTGTCATTGAGTTGTTATTTTAGCTATTCTATGCACAACAGACTGAAACACTGCCTGGTCCTGGGTCAACATCACAATTGTTCCCATGCTTGAGCCCACTGATGCTGCCACTTTGCCAATCCATCTTATTGGGGGGTGGGATGGGGTCTTCTTCTTTTTCTCTGACCCTCCACCTTCCCAAACATGATACCCTTCTCCAGCGACTGGTCCCTCTGACAATATGTCTGAAGTATGAGAGACGAAGTTTGGCCATCCTGGCCTCTCAGGAGCTCTCTGGCTGCACTGATCTTCAGTCTACTATTTCACATTTAGCATTCATACATTCAGTTTGAAATAACTACATTTCTCTAAGAACTTTCAGAGATTTTCATTTTGAAACATTGACTAGTAAAAGCTGAGTCAACAACACAAATTATTCTAATACATAAAGCTAAAAACTTTATACAAGTAGGCATCAGAAATTAATGGAAAAATGCAATGAAAAGATAATGGAATTTTCCACAAACGTTTTGAAATCCCCTTGTATATGTGAGCTACTAAACCTGTAGAGTTATTTTATATGATAGATTAAAGAGTAGAGCAAAAGTAATTCTGACTAGGTCTATGCTTTTGTTTTTACTGTTTTTTAAAAATAATACTTTCTACTGGATATTTTCTTTAAAATAAACCTAAGATTAAAAAATACATAAACATATGAAGAAACAGTGATCCAAAAGTCTATTGTTAGCCAGTGTAATCTTGTTAGTCAAAATAGCATAGGGAACTCACACCTAATATACGACCAGCCTTATTAAAGAGTCAATAATTTTCCCATCAGCTTGGCCAGCGGAGGCTCCCACAGGCTCCTGCTACGACAGGCTACCAATATATTTGCCTTTAAAATTTACTGGGGGTTTTTGCCTCTAAAGCTGAAAAATCTCTTCCTGATAAAAAAAAATACTGCTTCTTTACCATCAGATTACAGTCACATTTTAATGACCAAGGAGTGAATATGTCCTTTAAGATTATTTCTGTATGGTTGTTCTGATACTCAGAAAGCAATCTTATTGCCCTTATTTATAAATTCTTGGTACAACAGATAAACTATGTGTTATACTGCTGCCTCCATATACCAGCAGTAGTAATTGTCTAAAATATATAGTTAATTTATTCAATGTAACTTACCATACTTCTTCTAATATAGTCAATGGCTTTTTTCATATCCATGCCTGACCAGTTGTTGAGCATATAGCAAATACAGGAAGCACAGTACACAAATCGCATGTCATTTTCACTTCCTTCAGGTACAGCACAAAAACTGCAAATAATAAGTTTTTCTATTAGCACTACTGTAATTTTCTTACAGGGAGTAATGGGTGGTGCCGTTGTGTGGTGCTGTGAAGTGCCGTTGAGTAATTTCCGACCTATAGCAACCCTATATAGTGTTTCCGAGGAGCAGCTGGTGAGCTTGAACCACTAACGTTGCAGTTCAAACGGCTTTGCAGTCTGGCACATTAGCCCACAGCGCCACACCAGGTAGTGGAAGAAATATCTATTGAGTGTTTTTATACTCAGAAAAACTTACTAATTTAAAAACCATATTCTATTTGTATTATTCAAATAAGAAGACATAAAACTATTTCTAAACTATCACACTAAAGTTCTGATTTGGGGGTAGCTGTACATACTACATTAATCACTCTTTCCCAGACTTGACCATTCACAGTAAGCTTTATTTGCTCCCAGGTAGGGATAGATGTGGCAGACTAGCTTGAGAATTGATGGCATAAAAAGCACCAGGTACAATATGTAACCTACTGGGTGCTGCTGTTGTTCAGTGCTGGCGTGTGGACTCTGACTCATAGCGACCCTGTACAGGGTTTCCAAGGAGCAGCTGTTGAGTTTGAACTGACTTTGTGGTTCAAATTGACCTTGCAGTCCAGGACATTATTCCACAGTACCATACCAGGACTCTATAACAAGGTAGTATTAGACATTTCCAAGTCCAAGTTTTGCTGTACAAAATTTCTCCTAAATGCATGTATAGATAGCAATTAGTTGATCCATCCTACTATGTTTTAACTTAATTTTTACCTACAGACTCCTGATGTGGCACTGTAGAATAAACACACACAACAACTATTTCTAGAGAGGCAATAGTATGTCTTGTATTTATTCCTATATTTATAAACAAGGATAAGATAAGTGTAATCAAACTACACTAAAGTAAGGAAACAGTCACATGTACTGGCTGAGGCCAGTGTTTGATTTTACAGTATTTACAACTAATGTCAAGGAGATCTGGTAGAACCGTGGTTATGAATCAGGCTGCGAACCGCAAGGTCAGCAGTTAGAAACGACCAGCTGTTCTGTGGGAGAAAGATGAAGCTTTCTGCTCTCGTAAAGATTTACAGCCTTAGAAACCCTATTCAGGGTCGCTATGAGTCAGAACCAACTCAATGGCATACCACCAACATCACAACTACTGTAAATTTACCTTATGTGTCTATATTAATTTTTACCTCATTAAGCACTGTGGTTTCAAAAACACTATCAGGTAAATAGCAAAGATACTAGTAGATGGAGCACAAAGATGTGACAATACTTGTACAGCAGAATTTGTTGGTAAAGCTTTTTCCTTAGACAGTATCACTACTGCTCTAGTCCTTGTTATTGTTAAGTGCTGTCGAGTTGTTTCTGACTTGTAAGACCCTGCCCTATACAGGATTTCTGAGGATTGGCTCAATCTCTGACCTTATGGTCACCAGACCAGTACTTATTCTACAGTGTCTAACCTGAAAAATTTTTTGACATCTTACAACTCTAGGAAGACATGAGTTAGTACATGAGTAATTAAATGATAACGAACTCGCTGTCTTTTCTTTCTAGTCTTTGAAAATGTCACTGAAACTACCTACATAGAATATAATGCTTAGGAAGTAAAAGTTCAGATTAAATGCATGCCTACTTCAGCATAGTGGTTCCAAATCGGGCTGCGAACCTTAAGGTCAGCGGTTCGAAACTACCAGCCGCTCCGTGGGAGAAAGATGAGGCTTTCTACTCCCGTAAGGATTTACACCCTCGGAAACCCTGTACAGGGTCGCTATGGGTCGGAACCGACTCGACGGCACTTAACAACAACAACATAACAACTTCAAAATATGCATTTTTCACACAGAAGGTAAGTTAGGCAATAATACGGAAGGTTCTTAATAATTCATTTATAAACCTATCATCTCCGTTTTTTTTGTTTTTTTTTTTTAAAAGGAGTTCTGCCACTCTGATTACTTCTATTTTCATTCATATAAGAAACCGTAGATGTTTTTGATCAGACACTTTACTACATATAGTAAACTTTATGTAATTTTAGTAAGACTTTATGATCCTTTAAAGATCTAGTATAGTATTACATAATTTTTTTAGTTCCAAAAGTGTTATCATTAAAAACAATATAATGAATGACCCATACCTTCCATCTTCTAGCTGAAGAGCTCTTAAGCCTGCTAAACAAGCTTCTTTATTTACTCTGCTTAAGTCATCTCCAAGAATAACTAAGCATGACAGGCCAGTGTAGGTCATTGCTATGTGGCCACTATCATAAGGATGAGCTGTCCCAGGATTCTAAATGCAAAATTAATACAATGTTAATCAATCAATCAATAAGTATAATATGCCATTAAATAATTTGACATTGGGTTTATTTAAATAGTAAAATTAAATGTTGCTTTTACTGATTTGTAAAGATATCTGATTGAGAAAACCATACATTTATTTAAGTCTTAATATTATGTACAATCACATGCATTCCAGGTTAAACAACTTTAAAATTTATCTTAGAAATCTTACACTTTATGGAAGTATTTATGGTATTAAAATAAAACAAACTATTTGAACTTCATATATAACTAGCCCTATCTAGCACTTATAGTTGATGTTAGGAATGCATGTAGCCTTTCAAACAAGAAAGATTCATAGAATAAACAAAAAATATTTTATGCTATACAAACCCAAATTAAATATCACCACAGTAATCATCATACAAAAATATTAAGAAACAATACAGTGAGAAAACATACTTCTCTCATAGTTTGTCTCTAATCAACATAATAACTAGCAAAAAAACAAATACAAAGACCTCAAAAGACCAAAACTGACAAATTCTCTAGAAATAAAAATGATTTCTAAAATTTAGAGCTTAAATGGATATTGCTTGCAAACAGTGTTTTACAGAAGAAAAACTGTTAGATTAGCAATTGCCCAGGTAGAACAGGGAGGTCAGACTTCTTGTTGTTAAGTGCCATCAACTGCTTCTGACTCATATTGACCCTGTTTCCTAAGAGCTGCTGCTGGGATGGAAATTCCAACCTAGTGGTTAGAATCCAGTGTTTATTCTACAGTGCCACACCAGGACTCTGTTGTTAGGTGCCCTCAAATCAGTACTTACTCATAGTGACCTAATGCACAACAGAATGAAACAATCGCCAACTCCACAATCATTGCTACACTTGAGTCCACTGATGCTACTGCCACTGTGAAAATCCATTTCATTGGGAGTTTTCCTCAATTCTTCTGGTCTTCAGTCTTCAGTGTCTAATGCATCAAATCTGTTCTTTAGATGATCTCTAAATTCAGGTGGGATATGTTCAAGGTCATATTTTGGCTCTCATACACTTGCTATAATTTTCTTCAGCTTCAGCCAGAACTTGCATATGAGCAATTGATGGTCTTCTCCACAGACTGTCCCTGGCCTTGTTTTGACTGATGGTATAGAACTTTTCCACCATCTCTTCCCACAGATGTAATCAATTTAATTTCTGTGTATTCCATCTGGTGAACTCCATTTGTATAGTCATTTTTTATAAGGTATTTGGCAAGAAGTCACTGGTCTCGCAAAACTCTTATAACATGTGAACTCTAGCACTGTTTCTATCACCAAGGGCATATTTTCCAACTACTGATCCTTCCCTTTTGTTTCTAACTTTTGCATTCCAATCACCAGTAATTATCAATACATCTTGAAATTCCCTGTTTGATCAATTTCAGAATGAAGAAGTTGGTAAAATTCTTCAATTTCATCATCACTGGCTTTAGTGGCTGGTGCATAAATTTGAATAATAGTTTTATTAATTAGTCTTCCTTGTAGGCATATAGATATTATCCTCTTACAGACAGTACTTCAACATAGGTCTTGTAATGTTCTTTTTTTTTTTTTTTTTTGTAATGTTTTATTGTGAATTATATGATAATAAGTTTACATGGGAGAACTTTAGTTTTACATTCCATCGTATATCATCTCACTGCCATGGTTCCAATCCCCTCCATGCATCCTCAACCACCCAAAGGGTATATCCCAGAAACCCGATCCCTACACTTCCCCCTTCTCCCCCCAGTTTTCAGCCCACAGTCCCTTTCCCTCTCTGGGTCCAAATTGTAATGTTCTTTTTGATGATGAATTTTTCATTCCAGGCACAGTAAACCATGTGGTTGTCAGATCCAAAATGACCAATACCAGTACATTTCAGCACACTAATGCCTATAGAATATATTGGCATTTTTGCATTCCATTTCACTTTTTATAGCTTCCAATTTTCCTAGATTTATTATTCATACATTCCATGTTCTGATTATTAATGGATAATTACAACTGTTTCTCTTATTTTGAGTTATGCCCCACCAACAAATGAAGGTCCTGAAAGCTTTACTCCATTCATGTCATCTCAGTTATTTCCTTGAGGAGGTAGCTCTTCCCCAGTCATACTTGGAGTGCCTTCCAACCTGAGGGGCACATTTTCCCATACTATATTTGGCAAGATTCTGGTGCTATCTGACAGTGTTCCACTGCTATTATTCATTAAGTTTTCAGTGACTAAATATTCATAAGTAGTCAGTCCTTCTTCCTAATCTATCTTAGTCTGGAAACTCATCTGAAACCTGTCTACAATGGGTGATCCTGTAGTATTTAAAGTAACAGTGGCATACCTTCAAACATAACAGTAACACATGAGCTATCACTGTATGACAAACTGACAGATAAGTGGTGGACACCAGGACTCTAGGAAGTTCAAATGATCACAAGATGGGTCAGATAGTCCAACTGATTTGTTTCAACAAATGATACCTTCAAATAGGTATCAAAGATCTCTTTGAGTTTTATATATGACATCTTGTAGGGCAATCCTATAAAGACTGGGAGTTGACACGGACATAGATAAAATATTAATGAAAAACTTGTTTATAATGCTACGTAACTTCACATTTCACAATACACAAAGCATTGAGTTTATAGTTACTTTTAAACAGTCAGATGATTTTGTTAATTGGTTATTTTACAAAGCTGATTTCAGCGGAAAAATGCCAAATTTCATGTAATTTATTTCTCAGTTTAAGAAAAGTTTTCAAAAAAAACTTTTTTGCATGATCCCATAAAAAAAAAAAAAAAAGTTTTACTTTTGACAGAGTAAGACCATATTATAAATTGATGTCTTACAAAGTTTCCCTCTGTTTATCAATAACTTTTAAATACTATAATAACTGCTCACTATACTTCAAGACAGGTCTTGATATGTTTTGTTGTTGTTGTTGAATGAGATGCCATTTCTCTTCAATTCATCATTCCTGGCACAGTAAACCAGGTGATTGTCACATTCAAAATGGCTAATACCAGTCCATTCCAGCTCATTAATGCATAGGCTATTGATGTTTATGTGTTGCATTTTATTTTTGACAATTTTCCAATTTCCTAGATTCACATTTAGTATATTCCATGTTCTGATTATTAATACATGCTTACAACTGTTTCTATTCATTTTGAGTTGTGCCCATCAGCAGAGGAAGGTCCCGAAGGCTTTAATCCATTTCCGTCCTCACAGTCAACTCCACTTTGAAGAAGCACCTCTACCATTGTATTTTGAGTGCCTTCCAACCAAGGGGCTCATCTTCTGGTGCTCTGTCTGTCAATATTCTGGTGTTCTTCATCATGTTTCAGTATTCAATACACTGGTGCCGACAGCATCCCACTACTGTTTATACAGTTTTCAGCCCATCTCTCCTTCTTCCTAGTCTGTCTTCGTCTGGAAGCCCAGCTGAAACGTGTCCACCATGGGTAACCTTGCTTGTAATTAAAATACCCATGGCATAGTTTCCAGAATTACAGCAGCACATATGCCACTACAGTATGACAAACTGACAGACGAGTGGTGGAACAAGTACAGGTACACATCGGTATGTTGGTTAGTACTGAACCAATGTCATGACTTACAGATATCCTGCATGTTAAATATGTAACGACCAACTTTTTGCGGACATACCTCCACCCTCTTTACTAATTCTTTACACCTGCCTCCCACAGCACTCTCTACACTTTGCTGGGTTAGATAATCCATTGCAACGGTCACATAGAATTTACAGACCAAACTTATAGTAAAGTGGTTTATTAAGAAAGTAACAGGGTACACAACATGGGGAGGAAGATCATCAGGCTACAACTCAAGAACAGGATGAGGAAGCATGTAGGCAAAGCCTCCCTTCAGGAGAGCTCTTTTACTTCATTACGTACGTCATGCAGGCCTCCTTTCAGTCCCTAGGATAGGCTCCTCTTGGCCCTCTGAGCACAGGTTCTTCTTGGTCCCCTCGCAAAAGGTTTATCCTGGTCCTGTCACCAGACTCTGCAAAAGGGCTATTTCTGAGCCTGTCACTACTGGCTTTGCCATAGGGCTGCTTCTGGGCCTTTAGTTGTCTTCACTGTTACAGTCCTTGTCCTGTGTTACAGCTCTTTTAGGAGGTTCTTTGCCTCTTCTCTCTCAATGCTTCTTCTGTCTTCTTCCTTAGTTGGGTGTATACTTTTATATGTTGTTGTTGTTAAGTGCCATCTATGTAGCTGTTGTTATGTGCCATCGAGTCCGTACAGACTCATAGGGACCCTGTATAGGGTTTCCAAGGAGCAGCTGCAGTCTAGTGCATTAACTCACAGTGCCAAAACAGGACTCCATATAACTCCTTGTTTATTTCAAGTCATGGGTCCTCCCAGAAGGGACCACAAACTGACCAATTCCTTCTTAGCAGGTCACAGACACTTCATTTGTATACTGACCAACCCCTACTACCTAAAACAAAAACCAAATTCACTCCATTGAATTAATTCCCACTCAAAGTGACCCTACAAGACAGAGGAGAACTGTTCCTTAGTATTTCTAAGTCTGTAAATCTTTACAGTAAACCACCGACCTTTAGGTTAGCAGCCTAACACTTACTTCATTGTGCCAGCAAGGTGCATACCAATCACAGGACAGGTTACAGCCCAGGGCCAGACAAAAAGTACCATACCATATTTACCCAGGAAATGTTAACAAACCCTCTGGAATAGGAAACTAGGGCAAAAGCAACTCCTCAAGGTTTAGTAGAACAATTGCTCAAGGTATGTCTCCAAAGAACCAGAGCAAAAGACTACATAAAGAAATTCACTCCACCACAGTTACATTTTCTCTGTAACGATCATGGGAAATATCTGTTGTGTATATGTATTGTGCATTCTTACAGGAAGTAAGATACGTATAGCTTTCCCTAAAGGGGCTTCAGTTCATAATATGCATTAGACAGTATTTAGCTGTACAAAAACGTGAAAGCCTGCTTTTTTCTATAAAATTTGTTCGTTTTCATTCTCTAAAATCTTCCCATCTCCCTTCTCCTTTCTCCTGACACAAAAAGAACTAACCTTTGATGGATTGAATGGAATACCCAAGTATGAAGAACCTCGGAAACCACAGCGATTTAAATTTGATCCTAGAAAATGAAAACATGTGGTTATATAAAGTATACCTGACTTTCTACAAATGCTAAGCAGTTTAATTTTTAATTTTCAGAAAGAGTATTTTAATAACTAAACCTTTGTCACAGTTTCAATTTTCATGCTTGCTAGTATTAATGCTTAATATGTACCAGATCTGTTCTAAAGAGCTTTATAAGAATATCTTTATTTAATTCCTGCACCAATCACAAAAAAACTAATTTCCTACCAGGGACCTTTTATTTGTAGCCACTTCATAGCACATATAATGTTTCATACTTTATTATGTGATCATTTTTCAATGTGTGCAATATAATGAATCTCTCATTTTAAAAAACACAACGCCTAGAGGTTAATTATATGCCTAAAGTAACAGTCAATGACAAAACAGGGTGTAGAATCCTAACTAACTTGCAACCCAGTTACTTTCTATTTTAAGTCATTATAAGCAACAGGTACAAACTGTTCCATGCCACAAGGAAAAAGAGATATGTACTTTGTATTTTAGTATAAGACTTCCATTTTGAATCTAATAACTCACTTTGCTTTAAAGTGTATTATATATATAAAAAAGGGGGCTGTCAATTCCTCCTCACAGCCACCCCATATGTCAGATTGGAACTGTGCTCCACAGTGTTCAATGGCTGAAATACCTAAAGCACTATAAATTAGTACTTAATATCTATTAACTTTAAGGATGTTTACTCACAAATATTTTTTCTACACAAAAATTTCATTTTTAAAGATGTAAGTGGGATGTAAATTGAAAACACAAGAAAAAAATCCAATCTATATTAAGAAGAGAATTAGCTATTATTGTTGTTTTTAAGTGCTGTCAAGTTAGTTCTGGCTCATAGTGACCCTGTATAGCGTTTCCATGGAGCGGCTGGTGGGTTTGAATTGCTGACCTTGCAATTAGGGTCCAGTGCAAAGCCTACAGAGCCACACCAGGGCTCCAGCTATTAGATGCACAAAATGATGAAGTTTAATATATAATTTTATAACAGTAGCAATACTACCCATCCCCACCTCCCCCACAAAATAAGGTTGCACTTACTGAAAGTACTTGTTAAGTGCTTGTAAGTTGGATCTGATTCAAAACAACTCTGTGTAGGTTTCTCAAAAGCAGCTAGTGGGTTTGAACAGATTACCTTGCAGTCAGCAGCCCAGTGATTATCCAACAGTATCATGCCAGTACTGCTGAAACTACTTGTTGCTAGTATTAAATGCTATCGAGTCAGTTCGGATTCATAGCAAATCTGTATAGGGTTTTCAAGAAGCGGCTGGAACTGACCTTGCAGTTCAGTAATTAGCCAACAGAATAAAAGCAGAAACTACTTAGGTACATTAACTAAATACCTCATGGAGTCCTGGCATAGTGCTGCAAGATAAGCACTGGACTGCTAGTCACAAGGTCAGTGGTTCAAATCAACCAGTCCCTCCTTGAAAACCCTATACAGGGTTGCAATGAGTTGGAATTAAGAGCACCTAACAATACCCAATATAGGGACACAATGAGTTGGAATTGACTTGATGGCATTTAACAGTAACAGAAGCTACCTATGAGATGAGATTTATCAGTTCAAAGGTTTGGGTCAATGCCAGGAGCCAGCCCCAGCAAACTTATTCCAGGGTTTTTCCGAAAGCGGATGCGGCGTCGGCTGAATACACCAAGTCATGGGCCATGATAAATTTAAAATCTTCTCATTACATGCTTTATTATTATTATTATTTCTATGGCTACTCTAATAATCTACTTCTCTCATTCTTTACTGTCCTGCTCATTCTTTACTCCCCTGCTCTCCTGCTCATTTCTTCTGCGTCCTTTCTCCACTCCCCTGGCTCCTGCTTCCCTTCTCTCCTCTCCTGCTCCCCTCCTGCTTCCATTCTCTCCATTACTCCCTCTATTCTTGTCTCGTCTCCTCTCCATCTCATATTCCTTCTTCTCCCCCTATTTCTTTCTGCTTCTTCTTACCTCTCTCACTCTTGCCTAATTCTTCTCATACTCCTTCTTGCCTCTATTCTTCTCACTACTACTACTATTACTACTACTTCTTTGTTCTGTCTTACAACCCCCTTATATACCATTACAGAAAACATTGCTTTCATAGTAATCAATGACATCAAGGTACAATCTATCTTGAGGCACATTCCTTATGGTTTACAATTCTTAAATTTACAACAGGGATGAGAAGTTACAGCAAAAACATTATCTCAAGGTATAGGAGACATTCAGGTGCATTGAAACCTTTTAGTTAAACATTTGTTCATACATAAATCTATTATTTTCTCTGAGAAGCAAGTTAACCTTCACATATTTCTTAACTTTTGTCTGTTAACTCTTGTTAATTTTAGTTGTTAGGTGCAATTAACTCTCCATTAACTTCTTCCATACACTATCTGTTTATAGCCTACAAAAACATCACTTATCAGGGAAACTGAGGTTATGAAAAACAACTTCTCTAATTTACTGATCATTAATTTAAGAAGGTCTAAGTCAGACTTTTTATTTAGTATCTGTATATACCCATAGCCTTTATCTAATTGTTTTTTTTAGGAATTCCTGTAACCACAGCCCTTATTTATGGTCTATTCGCGTTTAGGATTCTTTACTACCTTAAACTAAGGCTACAAGGAAGAATGTTTGCAATCACTAAACCTAAGCTGGCAGTAATTTAATTGACAAGTCCTGTCTCCCAGCAGTCTTAAGAATATTGTTAATATAAGTATTAAAACTACGTAAGTTACAAGTAGAATAAAATGTAGCTAATGTGTTGCTTCTAACTTTTAATAAAAATATACTAAAGTGTAGGAGAGTCAAAAATCTAAAGTAAAAAATATACTAATAAAATCATGAATAACTCAGAGAATGATTTAACAAGAGAAAATTTCAACTAGGGGTCTATGCATAAAAAATAATAAAACAACTCTTTGTGGCTCTGCCATCCAAAGAGAGAAAGAAAGAAAGAAAAAGAAAAGAAAGTATTTCATTGTTGCTTAGCAAAGACAATGAATTCTTCATGTACAGGTTTCCCCATGTGTCATTTATTTAATTCCTCGATTAATATGTCTCAATTTATCTATTTTAATTCCTTAATTAATTATGGCTCTGGCCAGGTCAAGGATTTGAGGGCCAGTCCGGTGAATTAACCTAATGCTTTTCTGTTTCTGTTATATCTCCTAATTGAGTGAGTTGCACCTGGGGCCTTAAAGCCCAAGCAAGACACTTGGTCTCTTATTCACGTGGAGCAGTAGAGGAAAAGGAGACCTAAGAATTAGAGAGGAAATAATTGCCTCCATAACCTATTACTTCCTTTTGTATGAGACCAGAAGAAATGCTTGGAGCCCAACTACCATTAATGAGTGTTCTTATCAATGATGTAAGAGATAGATCCTCATTAAAAGGAGGGGAAAAATGTGGAACAGAACTTCAAATGCTTATGGAACCAGACTTACTGGATTCACTGAAGTTATGTAACACCCAAATCTACTGTCCTGAAATAATATTTTAACCTTGAACTGGAATTATTCTACGAAGTCATCTTTAATCAAAAGTGCTGTTCAATTAATAAAGACTTGGATGGTGTGCTTTTAGAGAATTATTTACATGAGATGTCACTGACAACAGTAACTAAATATGAAAACTTTTAGGAATATAGAGAGCCAAAGTTAGTGGCAGCGAAATGATATGCATATAGGCAGTGAGAATGTGAAGAATGTAACCAATGGCATTGATTTATACTGTAAAACTGCTGAATAAGTATGTTGTTGTGTATATTTTCTCTCTCACACACACATACACACACATGCAAAAGGCTACCATGGGCAGCTTTCTAATCTTGCCAAGCAATCACTCTTGCTAGCTGTTATTAGTAGCCACTGAGCTGACTCTGGCACAGGTGACCCTGTTTGTGTGGAGAATGGCACCATAAGGTTTTCAAGGCTGTGGCCTCTCAGAAGCAGACTACCAGGCCATTCTTCAGAAGCACATCTGGGTGGGTTCAAACTGCTAATGGTTTGACTATTAGGCGCTTAACCGTTTGTATCACTGACTTGCTAGCTGTTGTTGTCGCTCAGTGCTATCAAGTCAGTTCCAACTCACAACAACCCTGTACAGCGTTTCCGAGGCGTGTCTGCTGAGTTTGAACCAGAAACCTTGTGGTTCAAACTGACCTTGAAGTCCAGTGCTTACCCTAAAGTGCTATATCAAGACTCCAACTTGTTGGTAGCCCTTCATAAAAATTTGAAGAAATGTTCGCAATCAATAGCCATTGTTGTTGTTGTTATGTGCCATCAAGTCAGTTCCAACTCATAGCAACCCTGTACAGGTTTCTAAGCAGCAGCTGGTGGGTTTGAACTGCTGACTGACCTTGTGGGTCACATTCCAGTGTTGATCCTACAGCACCATACCAGGGTCCACATTAGCCATTTTGTTGTTGTTAGGCGCCATCAATTTGGTACCGACTCATAGCGACCCTATGCACAACAGAACAAAACACTGTCCGGTCCTCGGCCAACCTCACAATTGTTGCCACGCTTGAGGCCACTGATGCTGCCAATTTGCCAATCCATCTTGCTGAGGGTCTTCCTCTTTTTCTCTGATCCTCCACCTTACCAAAAATGATATCCTTCTCCAATGACTGGTCCCTCCTGACAATATTTCCAAAGTATGAGAGACGAAATTTGGCCATCTTGGCCTCCAAGGAGCACTCTGGCTGCACTTCTTCCAACACAGACCTGTTGGTTCTTTTGGCAGCCCATGGCTCTTTCAATATTCTTCTCCAACACCATAACTCAAAAGCATCAATTCTTCTACAGTCTTCCTTATTCACTGTCCAGCTTTTGCATGCATATGAGGTTACTGAAAATACCATGGCTTGGGTAAGGCGCACCTTTGTCTTCAAGCTGACATCTTTGCTCTTCAACACTTTAAAAAAGGTCTTGTGCAGCAGATTTGCCTAATGCAATACGTCGTCTGATTTCTTGACTGCTGCTT